TCATTGTGGCCAATGATAGCACTGTCAAAGGCGGTACATATTATCCCATTACAGTCAAGAAGCACTTGCGCGCTCAGGCCGTTGCCAGAGAAAACAAATTGCCGTATGTACATATGCGTAACAGCCTCATCATGAGATCACCTTAACTGACAGCTACCAGATGCATCTACCTTGTCGATAGCGGCGGCGCCAACCTCCCCCACCAGGCCGACGTTTTCCCCGATCAGAATCACTTTGGTCGCATATTCTATAACCAGGCTCGCATGAGCTCGGAGGGTATTCCCCAGATCGCCGTGGTCATGGGTCCATGTACAGCTGGTGGTGCCTATGTCCCAGCCATGAGTGATGAGAGCATCATCGTTCAGGAGCAGGGTCATATTTTCCTTGCCGGTCCTCCTCTTGTCAAGGCAGCGACAGGAGAAGTTGTCAGCCATGAAGATTTAGGAGGTGGCAAGATGCACTCATCTGTGTCTGGTGTAACAGATTACCTGGCTGTGGACGATGCCCACGCCGTGGTGTTGGCCCGACGCTGCATTAGCAACCTGAACTGGCCCAAGAAGTCACCAGAGACGCAAGCTCCCAAGCCTACATACTTAGAACCACTCCACAACCCTGAGGAGCTTCTTGGCATTGCTACCACCAATCTGCGAAAACCTCTTCCCATCCGCGAGGTCATTGCTCGAGTTGTGGATGGCTCAGAGTTCTCTGAATTCAAGCGCGACTTCGGTACTACTCTTGTGACTGGCTTCGCCGAGATTTACGGTCACAAGGTTGGCATCGTGGCCAATGATGGTATTCTTTTCGCCAAGTCGGCCGTCAAGGGTGCTCACTTTATCGAGCTCTGCTCGCAGCGTGGCATTCCACTTGTGTTTCTCCAGAACATCTCTGGCTTCATGGTCGGCTCAGAGTCAGAGCGGGAGGGCATTGCAAAGCACGGCGCTAAGCTTGTGACTGCTGTGGCTTGCGCAGACGTGCCCAAGTTCACTGTCGTTGTTGGCGGTAGCTACGGCGCTGGTAACTACGGAATGTGCGGGCGAGCATACAGCCCGCGATTCTTATGGATGTGGCCCAACGCCAAGGTGGGTGTCATGGGTAGCGAGCAACTAGCTGCTGTTATGGAAACAGTTGGAAAGACAGTTGATGCGGGCTTAAAGGAGCGCATCGAAAAGGAGAGTGACGCCACATTCTCTTCTGCACGGTTATGGGTAAGTGATATACGCATAAACCTTGCTGCACAGCATTAAGGACTAACACCTTCACAGGACGACGGTATTATTCCTCCTCAACATACAAGACGGTACCTGGGTCTGGGCCTACAGGCTGCTATGGGAGGTAGGAACGAGGTCAAGGCGGGCGATACCAAGTTCGGTGTCTTCAGAATGTAGAGATCCATTAAAGTAAAATATAGTAATGTTAGAACCAACTTTCAATTATGTGCTATGCATGAACTACATACGGTACGGGTCTACACCGCGTATAGTTCGTGATCCTTGCTGCCCGTTGGAGTCAGCGCCTCATTCTCCCGACATGACCTTGTTGCGATTTGAGAGGCTTATACGTAAGCTTACATGGCATCTAGACTTACCCACCCTTGATAGGCATCAGGGTATGAGAAAAGTTGACCGATGGAAGCATAAGAGACGAAACGTTGACTAGTTTATGCTACTGAGGCAAACACTTCTTAGACTACTTATTTTTGTACCCTGAGACTCAGAAGGCCAACTTGTCTGCTACCCAGTAGGTGGGTAACCTATGTGCCCGTTCAGTGCTTATTATCCTAAGCACATAACAAGCAACTCAGTTTGAGAGCCTGAAGTATATGTATTTTGGTACATTATTCAAATTAAGCTAACTACCCTAGAGAAAATACGAGAAAAACCACACTCTCAAGAAATGATCGACACTTCAATGCCCAAGACCCTTGGAGCTATCAGGCGATGACGCGAAAGGATCCCCCAAGCCCCTCACCCCCACCACATGCAAGTTTGAAACACGCTAAGGAATACAGCCCAAGCAACTCTTTTAGCACCTTCCATGGTTAATTGTCTGCATTTTCCAGCATCAAAAACATCAGCCAAGTTTGCTTTTGTCCAATATGAGCTATAGTAAACAAAAAAAACTTCAATCATCCTGTCTCAGTTGTGTCACGTCGCTTTTGGATTTTGGTCATATGTTTGACCAATCAATGAAGTAGTCGATCGAGGTCAGATCTTGGCTCCAAAAAGGTGAAACACAGCCTTCATCCATTAACTTTGAGTCTGAGGGTGTGTCGTAAGATACAGACAGGATACAACATGACACGATGTATTACAAAAAACGCAGTGTCGGATACACTGGCAACTTGTCCCGCTATTCCGAATAACCAATGCCAGAAATCAGCACAACCCCAAGCTAAGTTAAATAAAGGGATTCATAAAGAGATTAAAGGAAAGGAACTCTGCCCATAAGAAATCGCGCATAACTGCAACTAGTGCATCAAACAAATTGAACCTCATTTATTAAGCTTCACGAGTGTATTCGATGTGATCGTCCATGATCCGAGGGACGGGCGCTCGTTTCCGCGTACTGAAAGCAATGTTCTGAAAGAGCTAGCCCACCTCTACCTAGTTAAGCCCGGCTGGTATCAGTCCGTTCTTCCAGCGGAATGGTTCAGTTCATCCAAACATTGTAGTTCCATCGTGTTCCGTCTCATCCTGTTCGGCCTTGGGTGGAGTTTGATCAAGGCTGGCTTGGATTGAGCTCAAGAGTCAATTCGGCGCAAAGTGGATGAATCTAAAGAGAGGAAAGATTCGGCCATATGCTTGCGCACTGACGGAGTCATATTATATTGCGTTTAATCAGAGAGCTGAGAAAAATAAAGTACATAGAACAAATTCTACAGCGTTGCAATATGTACTACATGCGAAAGAAGTAATAAAGTATGTCCGCTGAAAATTATCCAGCAGTGCATCTCGTGAAATATTTGTGTTAGTATTCAGTGATGATGGATCTCGGCTGCAGGAACAGAATGAGCTAGTGTTTCTACTAAGACATTTTTGGCATGGGATCGACACAACCTTGAACTCTGTGAGCATGGAACACTCTGTATGTTAGTGGTACGTACTCACTTGATGTTGGCTTCCAGGGGGTTTCGATTTGTGACATGCGTGATACTCTTTCATGATTGGTGGGACTGACACAAAAGACGGAAGACAGTGGGTTTTTGACATAGAATGAGTTCAATTGAACCAGTAGAAAGCAGTGGCTTGGGGGAAAACGGTCGACCGTTAGCCGAAGCAATGGACGGATAGAAACGCCCTTTTCAGAGGTCACGGCCGGTACCCCTTCATATATCTCTCTGTGCCTGTTTGCTCTGCGCTCTGTGCTCGCCATTCTGACCTGGATTCAGAGCTTATGAATGGTCAGAGGCGTTTTCATGCTACAATGGCATCGACCCTGTTGATTAGAACGTATTAATTAGAAGTCATTGCTTTGATAGAAGGGTAATGCTAATGAATGAAGCTATCGTTCCATTGCTATCTCGCCCAGTCCAGTGCTGAATCGTCCTGTTTCGTGCTTTCCCTGCTTGCTCGAACTTAACCTCAAGGGTCCGTCCCCGATAGCCTCATCACACGCAGACACAGGGCAGGTACCTTGTCCGGGCAGGTTGCACTCCATCTTTCCATTTTCACTCCTTCCTCCCCCCTCTCGCTTCCGTTCCTTCCATCTCATCTCTCACCCGCACTCTCGTGCCTCTCGATAAGCCTGCCTCGACCCAAGTTGTCGTCGTCTGCGCCTCGTTACATTCGTTTTTTTCTCTAACCACTTCGATTCCTCTTCGTTTGTGCCTAGCTACTGTAGCATCGCGCACCTTCTTTTTTCTTAAAACTTCTTTTTCTACTACTGTTTTCGGTGTCCCCAGAGGATAATCAGATCTGCGTTCTGTTTTCCTTTTTTCTTTTGCTTGGCCACTTTGATAGTTGCATCAGCCACAAAATAATTTCGTGGTTGAGAAGAAGGAAATCGCAAGAGCAGGAGTCGATAATTCAAAAACCTCACCAGGTACCCGACGCCTTCCTTTTCGACTGTCGGTATCTCATCGATCCGAACTTCCATTCACAACCGTTATCGTCTCGACACCTGGAGCAACCTCAAACCGTCCAGACGCAACTTTGAAACGCGATTCGTCCAACCTGGTGACACGCCTCGCCCACGTCTCCCGCTTTAACTGCCACAGCGACGACCACTGAATTTTCATCTTTCTGTTGACACTGGATCACTGCATCTGCTCGTCGCATTGATCTCTTTTTTGAACCGTTCATTGCAAGCCCCTGTGACGTATCAATTATATATTGGTTTGCCTACTGCAACAGAGCTCCGTTTCGACTTAATTCGTCACGACCAAGTGATCTTGTAGGAATTGCGACCTTCCTCGGTATGTCTTCAACTTTGCTGCTTCGGATTTCTTGAGATGGTGCGATTTCAACATCATATTCATTGTTTCACTTCATTTCTTGGTTGTGTTATTACTTATCCCTTCTAATACTGATATTCTGCATAGTTCATTTCACATTTGCGTTGCTTCAACGCCTGCTTGGTCTGGTTCACCGTGCAACAAACTCTCATTTTTGGTTCGATTCGTCTTATCTTCTTCTACATTCGTTTCTATCTCGTTCTCGTCTTAACTATTACTACTCTACGCTTGTCGGAATTCTCGTGAAATCGACATAGTCTGCAGCTGTACGACTTGGTCGATCCGGAAGAGTCGATTTTTAATGCTGCAACACAGCATCTCGGATAGAATCGTCTCCACCATATACGAACGCTGTGTCAGTGCTTCTTGAAACCATCGACTTAGGGTGGCGCAAACCGTCGGATACCCGTATTATTTCACCATTTCGATTCCCTGCGACTCGACGGCTTCTTACATACAGTTGAACTGCATACAGAAGCCTGTTACTAGGTCCCTAGCCGTGTGACACTGTTTGAATGAACTCTCGACTCGGCATAAGGACAATCAAATGAGCCAAGCGTATGATGGGAGGGGTATGGACCCAAACTCGAGAAGCGCACGCGAGAGAACACAAGGTGGATATTCGCGACACCAACCGACATACTCAGATTCCATGGAAGATGACCCGCCTGGCGAACTCAGGGCTCCTCCTCCTCGCCGACCCTTGGGCGCAAATACCATGGGACAATCCAGGCTTCCTAAATCCAAGCACGCGATAGACAGGAGCGGGAACTCTGGCGTCACTATTTCTCGACCTCAACAAGTACCTCAATGGCCTCTGTCTGGCCCCCCTATGGCTGCTATGAACCAGCCTGAGGCTGAGCCATACCGACCACCCCCTGGTAGACCAACTCAGGCCCCTCGACGACCTCCTCGACCTAGCCAAGTTCCTTCAATACTCGATCAGTCTCGACTTCAAGAACCGACTCCAGTATTTCTCACCCCAGAACCCGAAGAATACAGCTCTACTGTCCCCCCTTCTCCATCCTCACGAAATACTGTCTCTAGCCTCGGATCTGTTCCTGACTTCCCAGAACCTAACCAAGTTCAAGCAGCCAACAGGCGAAGCGCCACTCTTGGACCTCCCCCCTCGGCGAGACGAGGCGTCTCGTCATTTTACTCACACGCGTCGTTTGTCTCGCCAATTCCTGAAGAAAGCCTTAACTCAAGGTCGCACGATTCATACGCATCAAGCGCAGCCATGCCCGATAGCTGGCGCGGAGGCTCTCCAGCTGGCAGTCCTTCGTATTATGATGACGGGGCTACTGACAGGAGTCAAGACGAAGAATTTCATGATGAGAGCAAATTGGTCCGCAGTGCCAGCATTGGCAAAAGAGGAAAGCCTTCCCTCATCACCACGAAATCATTTGTTATGGAACCTGGTTACCGGCCTGCACCATCTCCAGTTCAGGCCTTTGATTCAGGAACTGGTTATATCGACGCATCATCAAGCTCCTCGAATACACTCCCACTGGCAAAGACATCGGCCCCTGAGCAAAACCTTCGCGATAGCCTAAGCCCAGATGCCATTCTCGGAGCATTTGCAGCCGCTAGTGCGACCAACCTGTCAGAGTCACAGGCGCCTGCACCATCACCATCGCCTCAGCCTTACAACCGCCTCTCGGCCATTCGACGACCACCGAAGCTGGACATTGATGCCGTTCGAAAAGCGGAAGAGAGAGGCAGTATGACAAGTCTGCCTGACTTAATCCGACGAGCAACTCGACTTGCAACTATGATTGATCATGGCAAACGACCAGGAAGCCGATTTGATAACTTGAATGATTTCTTCGACGATAAGGGTCAGATGCGAGGGGGGGACAAGGAGAACTCAGGTGAGATACTCCGCATCAGACATGATGTCTTTTACTAACACCTATTAGGCCTGTCAGATATGCTGGCAGCATTCCCTCCCCCCGCCCAGCCAACAGGCCGGCAAAGCCGCGGGTCTTGGTTTCGCACAACGTCCTGGCCTCTTGCACCTGGCCCCGGACAAGGCAACGGACCGTCACGAAATGGCCAGCGCAATCAGACACCCTCAGATGAGGGTCAAGGTAAACGACGTCGGCGTTGCTGTGGCCTCCCTGTCTGGGCGTTTGTCGTCTTAATGATATTGCTGTTATGTATCATCGTGGCTGCAGTGCTTGTTCCGCTGGAGTTCTTTGTATTTAAGAACTTGGGAAACCATGACAAGCCTCAGTCTGCACTTGCTCAATGCCAAGAATCACTTAAATGCCAGAACGGTGGAACAAACATCATGTCCCAGGGCACTTGCTCGTGCATCTGTACTAATGGCTTCACGGGCTCGGACTGCAGCGTTGCGGGATCCGATGGTTGCACAATGACGGACTTGGGCGGCGATCTCAGCAATGTGACTCTGGGAAAGAACATCCCGCGCCTCATCGAAGCCAGTGCAAAGAACTTCTCCATTCCTCTGTCCGGTACCGCCATCATGGCCAAGATAAATGCTCAGGAGCTGTCCTGCATTGCTCAAAATTCGCTGGTCACCTTTGATGGCGCAGCTTCGCGCAAAAGGGGACTTATGCTCGAGCAGGATAAACGTGAGGCGCATGCCGCTTCCCTGGTACCTCGCGCACCCGAATCCGCTACTGCCATTGTCGTATCTTCAGAGACTGCAAACCCCACAAAGCTGATTGTAGATGAGGGAAGCCCAGAAAGCGTGCCGACTACAACGGGGAGTGCAACCCAAAGCTCAGGTACAGCTGTCCCTACACAAACACAGAGTCCTACGAACAAGTTCCAGATTACCAATGAGGTTCTGGACTTTGCGCGGGTCGCTGTACTTTTTGTTCTGCAGCAGCAGGATGTAGATAGTGCCCAAGACGCACAGTCTAGCATTGATAAGTTCTTTGCTAAGGCTCGTAAAGATGATGGGGTACTGGCAAAGGAGGCAGAGAACGTCAGCATCGGCGACAAGGAGTCAGTCGACCTTCTGAGGTACAAGATCACTATTGGGTCAAGTACAGTTGGGGGAAACGTCAAACGTCATGTCTTGTCTCTGAAAACTCCTTCAGCCTACGTGTCTGTTCGCCATAGAGCAGTACACACTTGGAGACAGGGCAGATCAGAAGCCATCAAAAAAAGATGAAGTGAAGGATAGACGCTGTATATAATGCGCGAACATAGGTAAATATGCGTTTCTCGATGATAGGGCCAGTTCACCCCGGTGTCTAGTTTATTTTGTTTTCACCAAGGCTGGCCCGTGGCTGGTAATGAGTGAGGATATGAGATGGGGATTGATTGATGAAAAAGAAGATCAAGTAAGAAGCAAGAAGAGAGATTTTGCATAAACACTATAGAGGCACCTTTTCCTTTTCCTTTTCCTTTTCCTTCTATTCTATTCAACCTCCCTTCATAGATATCTCGCGAGCGAGATTAGCGTGGGCGTTTATCAAAAGAAAGGCCTCTGTGTTTAATGGCATGTTTTGTCAATGAAATATATTTTAGAAACATGTTTCCTTGTTTATTTCCCTGTGATTGTGTTCCTTACATGGCTCTCTAACTTGATAAATCAAGGCTGGTAGAATACCTCCTCGACAGGTTTCCACCAGGATGGCTCGCCAGACTCGGAGCTCACGGCCCCAGGAACAAGGCTTTCCTGCCAGGCATCTGTCATCTTCCACCATTCTCTCACCCGAGGGTTTTGAGCCATCTTTTCCATATCACCACTGTAGTCTGAACCGATGTACTTGAACGAAGCGAAGAGGATGTGGCTCTGATCATCGTAGAAGATGCTGTCTGCAAGACCCCGTCATGTTAGCCACTTGATACCTTGGGAATGATGTAGGTTAGGGTTGTTGATCGTACAATCTCGAATGTTGCACTCCCCGATTTGCTTCAGGACATCAGGCCAGACGCGAGCGTGTACTTCTTTGTACTCTGTAAGGTGCTCTGGTTTGAGCTTGACGATTTGAGCGAAGCGACGAGGTGTTTGTGACATTTTGGGGTATTCTGGTGCTGTGAGTGAGTGATGACTTGTGTGGAGTGCGAGAATATACAATCATCAACAATAAGTTTGTGGCTAATGGGAACAAGGCAGTAATATAGATGAATTCGGCAATCGGGCTAGAGAGTAGCGAGTTGTTGTCCACTCTGTAACCCCGCAAATGACATTGCGTTTATAACTTATCCACTTACACGACTTGGGGATCGTGGGATCGCCGAAAGTGGAAGCGAAAACGGGAGTGGGAACGGGAATATCTAATCTTCAGGGTCCGCACTCTGGCGGATGAATGTTGCGTAATCCCACAAGTTTCGTCTAGTAGTTGTATTTGACGTCTCCATAAGGTTGATATAGTTAAGCAATTAGACAGGTGGTTTCCCACAAGGAGCACTAGAGTATTGTCAATCAGACAGTATGTAGGTGTTGAACATTGTGGCCTGGAGATGTATCATATAGTGATCATTTTATTCATTTTAAATAATGCCTGGGTACATAGAACTGAACCCGATAGACATGACTGAGACCTTTAAAGAGAGGACAGTAACGTTACAAAACTCGTTACCAGTGATGCCACGACTGCACTGAGACGTTTCCATCCAATTCGTAAAACATGATCCCGTCCATGGTGCATCCAACGCTATAACGCCTATTCCAAGCCCAAATCACAAGTAAAATCAATCTTGGAATCGATAACACGCCTTCTTTAGAAGTTCTGTGTTGGTAGTGTTTCGCCGTTCCCTTTTTCTATATAGACCGAGTTGCGTACGAGTACATTGTTGTGTAAGTTGACTCTAGTTGCGTGATTCGTACTGAGGAAGAGTCTTGTTGAGAACAGTCTTCTCGTCCTCAACGTCAAGCTCGGTGAAAGGCACCTGATGATAAGCAGCGAGGGATTCAGTGGATTCACTAGATTCGCCTCTGAAGAGACAAACCAAGCGGTGGACCATACTGAAAAGGCACATGACGAAACTAAAAGTGGTCAGTATATGAAACCAAGAACGATAAGATTCAACGTACAATGCAACTCCAACACCAGCAGCAACGCCCATAAGGACAGGGAGGACGATGTATGCGGCAACGTGCTTGAGGACCTCACCCATGGACTGCTCAGGCTTCTTGTGCATGAGTGGGCCTTGCTTAAAGTTATCGGTAGGCTTGTGCTCGGCCTTGCCAGCACCATGGTGGGGCTTGTGGTGTTCGTGGCCATGATGAGGCTTCATTCCGTGGCAGCCCTTGAACTTGCCCTTGACGCCCTTCCAAGTGTCGTGGACCATGTCCTTGGTTCGGCACCACATGTCGCAATCCTCTGGTGCTTTCTCGCCAGTACCCTTAATCTCGATGTTTCCGATGAGAATATCTCCGCTCAAAGACTTGATAAGTTTGACTGTCACAGGAGGAACGCCATCGACGAAACGATCGCCAACTTCAATAATTCGTACTTCAACGTTGACGATCTCCAAATGCTGATCCTCGTCGATTCCCTCTGGGCGAATAGCTAGACCGTATCCCAATCGGCGCATATCGCTCTTGCCATTGCCCTTAATAACGGCAGCTGAAAGATCACCATTCCATGGGTCGGCACGTGGGTAGAGTTCGAAGCCGTTGAGGACCAGGCGACGGTTCTTAATACCAAAGTCGAGTTCTAAATGAGTATCTTTTCCGCGGCACTGGAGACAAGGAACATCGATGGCCTGTTTATGTGCGATAGCGGGGAGCTCGAAGGTGCTGGCCTCGATAGGCAGAGCGCGGAAGATGCCATCCTCGTTGTTTGAGGTCTCGGGGACGATGAGAATTGCAGCAGCAGTGGCTGCGAAGGCGAGGGGCTTAAAAAGCATGATGTGACTGATTGAGTTTTGATATATCCTATGCTGAAAAGGATGAATGGATGGGTCGATGGATGGATAGTTGTTGTTGTATGTGTGGGTGGGAAGATGGGAGATTGAAGACGAGGAGAAAGTTAAAGTAGTAGCGTGCCTTCTACTTGTTAAGTTTCCCTTGCACTTGCATCGGATGTCTCGGTGGCAAGGGCTCCGCTTTTGGTAAGGCGTCAGGTGCGCGAGGCATGAATCTGGGGCCGGGAAGGAAAGAGACCCCTCCCCGATGACGACGATTCCAAGTCATGATCGATTGGCCAACAATCCGCGTATATATATTTTATGTCTGACTATCTGCACAATGAATCCATTCATTATGTTCATTTTTACACATATTCATGCACTTACAATAATATGTTAGTGAATAAGTCGCCAATGATCCACACTTGTCTCATCTGATACACTTGTTTCGCAATGGCAATTGTCACAGTATCAACACAAACACCAAACAATTAGGTCAGTCTTAGCATAAATTAATAGAATGACTTGTGTGAATCTTGTACACGGATACTCGTTTCCTTTCATCCATTCACTCATAAACAGAGCAATCTTCCCCATCGAGGCCTCCCTAAACCTTACTTAACCCCTGCTTGGCGATCCACAATACCTTGTATATCCGGAAGTTGAGAGTAGCCCGAACTACCGAAACCAACAGGGCTGAATCAGAAATAGAGTCCAGCCAAGAAAAACTAACAAGAAAACGAGACCCCTTAATAATGACATGGTATCTGTATAACACTCATTCCTTCTCCCCTAATGTGAGGGACCATCCACGTCGCTTGTATCCATGCCGGCGGCAAGACTAATCTTCCCTCTCCAAAGCCTACCCGTGCCACAAACTGTTGATTTTGTCCTTGACGTTCTCCCATCGAAGTCGCCAATCAACTCTCTTGCTCACACCTCCACCGTCAAGACCGATACCTACATCGGACATGTTTTGGTGACGGTGAATCAGGGAGTCGTTTCCCCATGGAAAGTTGGAGTCCACGGGCACGACATCTGACGGAGTGACTCTGTCAGTAGGGGTAGGGTAGTCATCCCATACCGAATGGGACTCCTCTGCCCGGACGGTGGTGACTGTCTTGAATGTCGTGAGCGATCCATAGGTACTTGTGCCTAAGTCTTCAAGGGTTAGTATAACTCAATTGATTGCGTGGAACAGTACAAACCTTTCGCGCCAAATGTTTCAGTCATGTTCGACCAATGCGCCGTTTTGCAGCTTGACATCGAGTGTCCACTCGAGCAATCGGTTGTGGGTGAGCCCGCTGATGATGATTCATACGGAGGATAGTCCAGTGACTCCGTGTAAGTCGATGAGGTCGTAGACGAAGATTCGCAGGGAGTAGCTGCGCTTACTGAACGATCCGAAGTGTATGTGGTCGTCAAAGTATCAATCGCCAAAGATGTTACTCGGGAGAGCGTCGAGTTGATCACAGGGAAGGGCGCCAAGGCGGAGTTTTCAGCGGAAGTCGCTACTCCCTTTGCACTACCAGTAGTAAGAAAGGTAACAGATACCTCGGACAACGAGGTTGATGCTTCCGAAGAATGAACAGTTACCAAGGTTGTGTTCATCCATGTCGAGGCAGTCGAAGTGATTGCGGCATTGGACAAACGAGAGGTACTTGGTTCTTCCAAAGTGGTAGTCAGAACCAGAGTTGTGGTGCTAATGTAGGAGATGAACGATGAAGCACCGTCAGTGGTGTTCTGGAACCTAGACAGAGGTGTGCTTGGATCTGCTAGAGTAGTAGTGAGGACCACCGTTGTGGTGCGAGTATAAGAAGTTGAATCTGAAGCCTTGCTGCTGAGATTACCAGTAACGAGACGGGACGAAGTTGGCTTTACCATAGTAGGAGTGACAAACAATGTTGTAGTGCGAGTGTACGAAGTTGACTCTGAAGTCTCACTGCTCCGGTTGCGAGTAGTCACTCGGGGCAAACCAATTGATGTTACGAAGCCTGGCTTTCTTGTGAGATCCCAAGTCGACCACGTTGTCCAAGGTTCCGGGTCAGGAGTCCATGAAACGATCGATGAAAAGGTAATCGTAGCCGTGGCAGTCGAGTTAGAGCTAGGGAACGGGGGTGCATTCGTGCCCGAGGCAGATCCAGAGTGCCGAGTAGCGTTTGATGTATGATATTTCCGTTCACTTGTCGAAGTGGATTCCTTGTAAGGCGTGGAAAACATTCCGGGAGTGCTGGTGATAGTAGGAGGAGCCACTGTCGTGTTCAAGGACGTCCAAAACACAGGGTCTGTGGGGGTGATTATTGACATCAAGATATCTGTGTACGTTTTGGTCATGACACTGCCAGATATAGTAGTGAGAGTAATATGATCTGTAGTTGGGAAATGCGTAACAGTCGCCGTCCCGTTCAAACCATTAGTGGCAGTCTGAATAGTGGAGTTGAAAGGCCCTTGAGCGATGTTGGTAGCGTTCCATGAGCGGTAAGTAGTGACAGCCAGCTTGGAAGAGGTCACGTTGCCAGATGGTGGAGAGTATGTTGCGGAATTTGTAGTCGACGTCGAGTTGGCATACGGAGCAGTAGCATTCAAGCCTGAACCAGCTGTGGACAGCGAGGTTTGCGGGCCTTGAGAGTTGGTGGTCTTGGTGGAATCGGTCAGTAATGTCGGAGACACTGTTGAATTCCATCCACTGGAGGTGTTGGTCGGGAAGGGCAAATTGGTAGGTTGCCTGGTAACGATGGAAGTGATTATGTCTGTAAGATTGCTGGCAGATGTGGACAAAGACCTAACTGAACTCATATCAGATTCTGTGGTCTTGGAAAAGTTGTAACCACTACTGCTATGAGCAGCTGTAAGCTTGGTAGAAGTCAAACCTGTTGGCCCGAGGCTAGTCGTGATGGTTGAAGTCCATGTAGAACTGATCACTGTTGCGTTTTCAAAAGGTGGCGATGTTGAGCCAGTTGCCATGCTAGGTGGAGTCATGGGAGTGGTGATGATCGAAAACGAAAAACTCGTGAAAGATACTGGGGGAAGTCCGATAGTAGGCAGGGAACGATGTGACTCGACTAATGTTGAAGTGGGCCAATCGAACAACGAGCTGGTCTCTTGGGAAGATGAAACTTCCATACGGGTCATTGAAGAATTGAAAAGTGAAGCAGTAGATGTCGAGACAGAGCCACTAGTCATACCTGTGACATTGCTTGATGGGGAAACACCGCCAGGGATGATAGTAATGACCGGAGTTTCTGAGATTGTTGTAGTTGTAAGCGAGTTGGTGACTACGTTCGACGTTACGTTAACTGGCAGAGAGCTGGATTCAACTGAGAAGTCTGAAGTGGTTTGAATGGTGAGTGTGGTGATATCTGATTCAGAACCCACAAAACTTCCGTTCGGTGTAGAGGTAGACATGAAGGAAGTAGAAGACTCTACATCAGACGATGCGAAGGTAATCGCGGCAGATCCTTTGTTCGTAACGCTACTAAACATCGTTGAAGTCGATGAAGTAACAGTCTGAGAAGGCTCTCCAGTACTAGCACTCGATAGCCCTTCGGAGGTAACAACAGAGGAGTCACCGGACTGGTTGGAAAACTCAGTGGAGAGAGTAGCAGTCTCAAGTGTTGAAGTCAAATAAGTAGTTGTAGTAACAATGACAGTTCTATTGCGGGAGCCACTGGCGACAAGAGACGTCTTTTGCGTGGACTCGGAACCGGAGATTTCAGTTAGGCCATCTTGTGATGCGCTTGTCACGACTGAACCCGAAGCTGCAGTGGCTGAAGTCTTCGATGAGACGTCTGATACAAGCCCAAACGAGGTAGCAACACTCGAAGAACCATTGGTCGGCGTGAGGTAGGTCGTGGACGAAAATGTCAGTCCGGTAGAGTCTCCCACATCTGTGACTGTCACAGCGGTATTGAGAATACTTGTTGTAGTCGTGGTCAAGGCAGTCATTTGTGAGCTTTCCTCCAGTGACGTAAAGACTTCCGAGGATGACTCAACCTCAGCAGTAGAAGAAGTTCTGGCTGTCACATTGGTGTTACCTGAAACCTCGAGACTCGAGGCAGTATCTGTGAGTGAGATGACCTCTGTGGTTGTCTCTGTTAGGGTCATGATGCTGGAAACTGTGACTGGCAAAACACTGGCGGAGGAGCGTTCCGTCTCCCATGAGGCAGTTCCAGTCATGCTGGTGGAATCGGAATCACTGACAGCAGAGGAACGAGTGCTGATAGGCGAAGTGCTGTTGTTCCAGAAGGTAGACATATGGTCACCTGCAGTTTCAGAAGCCTCATCACCAGAAGTTCCGGCCACACGAGATAATCCAGAAGATGTGGTATCAACGGATGTTAATGCCTCAGAGCTAGTTGTACTGCCAGCCTTGGCACTTGAAGCAGCAGAGGGCACAGCGATGCTGGTATCAAACCGAGTAGACAAAGAAGGAGTGGAAATTCCGAGAGAAACAGTATAGTTTCCGGAAGATGCGTGTGACTGAGAGGTCACACTAGCCTCAGAGGATTCAGTGCCGATATCCGTTGTTGTGGTTTCCTTCGAAGTGGAATCTAGAAGCGTTAGCTGTGCGGAGAGGTGCCTGCACCAGAACACTAACAGGAGGTCATCTCAGTGGGAATAGCAGGCTCTCCCGTGTAGTATTGGGGAGGGGGGCCATAGTCATCATTAGGCTGGCGAGCCTCAACGAAACGGTTGCTGCGCACGACCCGGTGACGACTTGGGCGCTGCTGGCGAGGAGATGCAGCCGCGCTGCCAAGAAGGCAAGAGAGTAGCAGGAATACCGACAGAACGGTAACCAAAGAAATCTTTGGTGGTCTCATGATGAATATGCGAGAGTTCTGCAGGTGCTGTTGTCAGTATACGAGATCACATACAAATGCCTGAAGAACACAGGAAAAGGAAGTCTTACCGCACGCGAAACGAGTGAAAATTAGTCGGTAAAAGTATTAAGGGAAATAAACGAGTGTGTGAGCCGAATGTAAAGCAAGGCGTAAAGATAAACGAGCGGTATTTGACTTCTTGGAGGGTATTCCCTTGATGCTTTCTCGCGATGATAAGGAGAAGGCAAGAATAAAACCACGAAGCGAGAGAAATGAAAGCGCGGTAGAAAAGAGGAGAAAGAGAAAGAAAGCCCAGCACGCGTTAGAAAGCGAGTGCGTAGCCGAATGATAAACAACGTGGGAGATGTGAGATATGCACCAGTGCCAGCTATCACGCAGTGCTTGCCAGTGTCAGGCAAAAGGGGCACTCGAGGATCTACTACGAGCAGCTCGAGTAATCTTTAGCTCACCCCCGAGAGCTTACCACAGCATGAGCGTACAAATTGCGTTTCCAAATCGAATAGGTTACAGTCATCTGGCCCAGGATCTTTGCATTGGTGAATCTGCAGGCATGTTTCCTCAGCTTGATCAGTACCTGGTGGCACGGTGATATTCTCGGCTACCTATGCAAGTATTCCTTTTGGACCAACCCATGGGGCATTTCTGCGATTGATTTTTTGCCATCTATCCGATGGGAGCGGACCCAGTCCCCTGGACCGACACATCGTCCCGCCTTCATATGCCGTGATGATAGTCGTGAGAATGACAGGCTGTACAGGTAGCCTCGAAGTCATGGGCGTTACTCTGTTCGTACCTTCGGAGAATAACAATTCAATTCGGTTCTCCGCAACCGCTTACCTGCAGGTGTCGACTCTTGCCACTGCTCCCTTCGCTTCATCAAGCGATGATTGTTTTCAAGCCATCTCACAAGCCATCCTTCATTTTGAAGTGTTTCCTTTATATAGATAGAGTGGAACAGAATAAAACATTCTGATGCAATTCCTTCGCTTGTATGGCCAGAATGTTCCTGCCATACAGAGAACAGCGCCACGATGTATCAGAGTCCAAGACGTGTGAACCCGGTGGGAGAGTGTGCTTAATAGTTGTCTCTTTCACTAAACGAGCTTCATACCGAAGCGCAATGGAAGTTGCTCGACTCTAGGGGCAAACTGTCTTCGAGCTGGCGTATCTCTTCGAGTCTAGCTTGTATCAGTAAACATTGTGACAGAGGTCTTGGACAGGCAAAGTGATGAAACACAAAGGATGTCGAGCTTTCAGCTATTGAGGACAAGGAGGTGTTTGTTAAAGGTTCCACGGTTCAGGGCCCAGAATACCAAAAGCGATATGTTATCCGTCCAGTTGTAGTGCATGTAACCAGCTTCGGCAACGAGGCGAGATGCAGCTTGCCGTCGGGTCACATTAGAGATGTAGCCTGCTTGAGTCCTGGCTGCATCGAAACTTGTTATGAGTGGCGTTTATTCGTTAAGTTGAAATCTAGATCGTCAATATTTTATCAGGGTGCCAGAGTTACGGCCACCACTGTAGCAGGAATTGTCGGTGTATTAGGGTTTCCTCCTACTTCTTCAAGGAAATGGACGTAGGAGCACCGACACATATCGCCAAATTACAGGCAAAAGAACCAATTAGGACATGGTTGCGAGGCATGTGTTGATGTGAAAAGGAGACGGATCGAGACGGAGAAAGTTGTGTGAAATAAAAGAAACCAAGACATGAAAAAGTGTTAATGCTCTCACGAATAATAGGACCTTCCCATATAGCTGCGCTGGCGACCAGAGACTTTCCCGCCCTGGTGGGTAGTAGAAAAGTTGGCCTCCTAAGCCTTAGGGTATAAAAATAAGTATTATAAGAACTATGGTCTAAAGAGCATAATCTGACCTACTAATTCTATCTCTTATGCTTCCAGCTGTCAATTTTTCTGATACCCCGAGGCTGCTTTCCATTGTCAGGAACGTGTTCCCTGGAGCTCCCGGGTAGGGCATTGACGACAGTAACCCCGTCTTCTTTTGAACTTCCACGTAACAAACCAAAAACAAATTTGTATTACTTGGCACCTGACCATGTTTTTTTAACTGTTTCGCAGATACTGAATGTTGCGTGGCCTTGAGGCTTGAGTGTTGTACAAAGACTCATGTGTTTTACTCGGCCTTTTCAGCGGTTTCCCGCAGGCTTGGGGCAGTCCCATCAGTCATGGAAGTGTTTTTGTCTTCGATATCAGCAGCCCACAGAGCAGCGCCAACTTGTTGATGTTAGCTCATACATGTATAGTCAGTATGCAAATAACTTACCTGTGTTGCTGAAAGTGAAGAACATTGAAGCAACGGGGATCATTTCAAGGAGCGTAGCAACCAGTCCGAATCTGGAAAACATCAGTTAGCTGATTTAGAACCGTAATGTGCGATTAACCACCAAGTAGATGGTCGAAAAATATGAATGAGTGACATACGCAGTGTAAGGTCCAACGTTCTTTGTAAGCCAATCCTCCTTCTTGGGCTCTGACCATCGCTTGAGCTGAAAGTACTGGAGCAACGTTAGCTTAGTTGTGAATACTGTCCAGGCATTTGACTTACTCGGCCATGAACTCCCTTTCCTCGGGTGCGGCCTATTTTGAATCAGCGGAGCAATAGATATAGAGGAGTAGAATTCCCACCTTGGATGAGAATGAAAATCACGGTGCCGACGACTGGGATAGCGTTGAGAGGTAGATACATGATGTATCGGATGATGGCCTTTGGACTGAACTTCTCGAAGGGGCTCTTGATGATTTTGCCCAACTTCTGCATCGGATCTCCTCCTGACTTGACCTCACGTCCCTCGCTGACGATCTTAGTGTCTCCACGAGCCAGGAGGGTACCATCAAAAACATCCAACAGCGAATCTTGGAGAAGGTAGTTGCGTGATATGAGATTAATGATGGTAGTGCTCTCATTCAGAACCAGAAGAACCGTGGAGAATGGTGCAATAGGACCATTTACGAAGAATAGGATAGCGAGCTGTGGCAGGTACGTGAAGAAGAACATGCCACCAATTACGCCGGTAGAGAGGAGGACCAGAGGACCGAGTTTGGAGATAAAAGGCTTCCAAAGCGAGCGACGGGAGAGAAAGTAGAAGATACCCTACAAGAGACATGATATGTTAGCAAACAATTACCGTGGAGCTCTATCCCTGTGATTTTCGTACCTTGATCGGGTAGAGGTAGGATCTGCTCTTGGCAGCATTAGTGACATGTTCCCTGGCCTGAGCATAGTCCTCCTTGCTAATTGAAGATGTTAGCTTGAGGAAAGTGATGTATGTAATCGGCGTTCAATCTTACAAGACCTCTTGAGCTTTCTCGTTCACAGTGTCGACCACTCTGTTGCGTTGAGAGGGTTGCTGCTGGTGATCAGCTCCTGAAGCTTCAGCTGTGTCAGACATGATAGGTTGTTGGTGTGACGACGTGATCTGTGATGTAGACGGGTTTCGAAATGCGTTGTGATAAACAGCTTCAACAACGATGATGTTGTAGAATGAAAAAGGTAAATTCTATCGGCTTCTCTGTTTTTTATTATCACAGCGAGGCTGGCAATCACAAGCTTTCCATTCCAAGCTCAAGGGAGGAAAGAAGCTCACATCGATGTCGTCATTAATACATACAGTAGCTCGTGGGGCTCTACGTAACTAAGGGACGAGTGGGGCTACCTTAAATCGTCGCAATGATGCGTTTGTTACGCTAATTGACAACTTTTGATATAACAGTTTCATTAACTTCAGTTGTTCACCCAATTACTGTGCCAAGGAAAATCACGCGCTTTCGATTGTGTTCTAAGTCACCTTTCTCAGCATTAGGCTGAGCTTCTAAAGTCACCCGCTACAACGTCAACTCGCAGATCGCCGGACAAAACATCCCATAGACCCACATCGGCCGGGGAGCTCATGACCCACCATCGTCCTTAGATCGTGGGAGCTCTTATAAGATTCCAACCAACACTGACGTCTATCTGTTGACTTGTAAGCAGACTGACCTTGAAACAAGGCAGATCAGTTTCAAGTCTGCCCTACGAGTCCTATAACCCCCCGAAAGAGTCTCTTGTCACTGGTGCACTTGTGGTAGGTTATGTCGCGTGAGCTTCGTCGCCCCCTCCTTCAGTTGTCTAACAAATTGCTGATCATCCCCTGAAAGATCAAAGGTATGCGTCACAGAAGACAGCGCTTATAATCTCGCTATGAGCCCAACGTTAATGACAGCCTCATCGAAATAATGGCAACCCGAAAGCCTTCTTTATACTCTACCCAACGTGACGAATACTTACATCAACAACCATAGTCATGGCTCAACGATACATCTCAAATAACCTCCCAGCTCAGAGTCTAGGCTCGGACCCCAAAGAGCTGCTAACGTATGCTCTCGAGCTGGTCGTCCGACACACACCGCCCCGCAAAGTGTACCATGAACGCCACCTCGGTGGTCTCTTCACCGGGTACACTGGCCTTGCCTACCTGTTTCTTCAGCTCTCCGAGCTGTATCCAGATCTGCAGATATCAGGTCAGAAACTGATATCATGGGCGCAACGATATCTTGAAGGAGACCGAGGGAAACTTGTCTTGGAGAAGGGTAACTGCGGCATATCCTCCGAAAAGTTATCATTCCAGGCAGTAAGAGCATGTGTGACGAAGGACGAAGATCACTTGATAGAGTTCCTAAGCAATATGCCCATACTTCTTGGTCCATATACGAGCCCTCAGGAAGATGCTTTTCCATCAGAGATACCATACGGAAGAGCAGGTACCTTGTACTTGCTGCGCATGGTGAAACATTGGATGCCGAGGAGTGAGACTCTTATCGAGTCCCCTCTTCGACGACTAACGGAGAGAATCATGTCCACGGACGATGACGGACGAGGAAATTGGGAGTGGCATGGAAAACGGTACTTTGGCGCAGCCCATGGCGATATTGGTATCATAACACAGGTTGTTCTCTCGAATCCATCGCTCGCTCCACAACTCGCCCGACACCTAGAGAAACTTCTTGAGCTTCAGCTACCGGACGGGAATTGGCCGTCAAGTATGCGAAGTCTTAAGGAGGGCAAGAGTGCAAGCTTAGTTCAGTGGTGTCATGGTGCTCCTGGTTTCTTGTACTCGCTACAATCCTTGCGCCCTTATTTTCCCGAACTTCAGAGCCGTATCGACTCGGCCATCGAAAAGGGGGAGGGCATAACCTGGAGACATGGTCTGCTAATAAAGGAGCCGTCTTTGTGTCATGGAATCTTTGGGAACGCACTGTACGTTTTCCTTTTACCCAACCACAACTATTTTGGTAATATCTTGGATCCAGGATCAACTGACTCGAAACAGGGTGCTTCCCCAAGGAACTAGACGACAACACTTCCTCGCCCTGGCTACAGCCGATGCCGTGGAGAAAGTACGCCGGCATGATCCTGACCTCTTTGAGCCTGCATCGTATGGCCACAAAGCTGCAGTTCTCATGAATTACTTGCCGAGTGCCGCGTGGACATGGGCTGTTTGTGAGCAAGAACACCCCAGTCTCATCATGTATAATGATGTATAATAAAGGAGAATCGTGACCGGCTGCTTGATATGGTGAAGGAACATATTGGCAACGTCAGGCGGGGCGGCCTCGGGGTATCAGAAACATTAACCGCTGGAAGCATAAGAGACAAGATTAATAGGTCAGTTTATGCTGCTTAGACTAAAGTTCTTAGACTACTTATTTTTATCCCCAAGACTTAGGAGGCCAACTTTTCTGCTACCCACTAGGGCGGGATGCTTTTTTCTTGTATCAGTTACTTCTTGGTGATGGGCCCATGAATCCACTGCATCGGTTGTGGAGATCAGCATGGATGTGATTCTTGGTAGCAGAATAAATGGATGCTTAACCGAGGATATGGCATTCTAGAATACTATCACAAGACTATCACAGGCTCGGCCCTGAAAAAATCTTGATCCACGACAACCCCGTGGCCCCAGCTGGGCTGTAACGTCTAAGCTCGACTCAAGCCCTGGCGAGACCAATAGTTACATCCATACAAACGATCTAGGAACCGATAGAACAAAGTTGCTCATCCATCAGGGTCCACTCTCACATTGCGATACAATACGCCCGTGGGACAGTACCCATATGTCGGGCATAACTGGAGAAGAATCGGAGTTTGAAAACATTCAGGGGCTAGGGAGATTCTAAGTAGTGTCTTCAGTGACACCTCTTGCCATTGGTTCGCGGGGAGGTGAATGGCAGCTGAAGATAATATCTGAGTGAGGCTTGTGCTTGTTGACAAGGGTTTAACATCAAACCCGAATTCCGGATTTCAAGATGAACTGACATTGAGAATTTTGCGAGGCTCCATCACGGTCCCATAATTCAAAGATTTAGATATACACTTCGGCGTAGCCGAACAAGAACTCCATGGCCATGTGAAATCACAATGATTTTACTTGTGAAAGTGGTAGAAGGAAGCTCATGATATGATTCAGGACTTGGCAACAAGCGAAGATGGGAATGAGATCAGCTATCAATTAACATGAGGCTCTGTGTCTATCATGTGACGTTTGCTTTCTTTCTATATATCGTACAATACGGAAATTACCGTAGTTTGAGGATCGGGGTTCGTTCGGAATTGTCTCCAGATGCGGTTCCGCTCCACATCGGCCGGGTGGGGCCGAGGAACGGGTTCAATGAGGCTCACGAAGAAAGGCATGACATGCCTTAGCATTCGGCATTGGTATGTAGGAGCACGTCCTAGAAGGGTCTAGTGAGCCGAAACGGATTGTTGAAGATAAAAGTTTATCAAAAATCACGATTTTACTTTTGAAGCTCAAACGACTGTGCAGACTGTCAGGTGTTTGGCGAAAGTTCTAAGCCAACAAGGAATAGAACGAGACAGTGCTGAAGATCTTCTTCCTTCCTCTCCATTTTCGTTCCCCATGTTCCGAGTATCAATCCTGATCCTTGATGATTTGCATTCATGCATGGATCCATCATCCATACAACTGAAAACGACTCTGTAAACAGCTGTGACGGTTAAGACGGCTGTCTCATATCAAATCTGAGGCATTTCTCAAATGCTGACTTTGGCCCATACGCGTTCTCAAAGAGCGAATTGATTAATAAAACATACCCTTGAAGACCCTTAATCCTTCCGAGGGTTACGACGTCGTCCAGAAAAGGCATCAGCGGACCGCGGAGATAGCACGTTAATAACAAGTTTCTCATATCATCATGCAGTGTGTGTGGTATTGGAGAATGCCCCGACGGGCTCTTGAAATTGGCGCGTCGGAGGTTTAGACGCCGACTTGACGACGAGCGGATCAGATAGCACAATCTATTGTCTGTACCGTAATCATACGCCCTCCCTCGGCACCGAGGTCGAGTCGGGTTATTCAAACGGGTATCGACATTCGTAGATCAATTGGGCTGGACTAACAACTATCCCTGAATATCAAGCAGCCACTGATCTCATCTTATTCTGATATTAGATACTTTTTACCTTTTCTTCAACGGCAGAATAGTAACAAACTATGTTGATGATGCAGTGTAATGACCTAGAGAGATGGAGGAGCCCCCCACATCGGCGCCGAAAGGTGTTCCATGATGGAAAGTCCGTGCAACGATGCAAACGTTGATGGACTCTCACTTTTTCGGTATCGCCCGAAAAGGTCTTCTACAATCCGACAGGCTGTTCCAGGTCAGGTCAGGGGGGTGAAGGATTGGTTATCCACTGCCGTCTCGGTGCCGATTCAGGGCCATGGAAACCCCGCGGGTTTTCACAGAATTCAGAAGCTTCAAGCGGAATCAACAGGTAGCTACGCACTTGATCGAGAAATTAAAGCTCTGAAAGGGATATCGCATCGCATCGCGGTTGAAAGGAATTGATCCCATAGGGCTACACCTGTGTTGGTCAATACAAAACATGATGCATCACGAATAAAGATAACGTCTATTGCTCGGCTGGTGCTTGCCGAGTCGACCAACCGTCTTTATCAATCATCAGCACTTGACGTTAAATTTGCGACTAGAAACTTAGCCGGCTTAATTCTCACCAACAATTGCTTATTGGTATGACGCCAGCCTTAACAGCACAACGGCTTACTGCTACGCCCGTCGCAGGTCACGTTTGCTGCACATGTTTGTTAACTCCGGCTCGTAGTTATCAAGGTTCTACAAAGCATAGATATGAAGATAACACAGCTGATATCATGTCTGACAACGTTATTCTATGAGATCATGGTCAAGTATGGCGTTGTGTTATCAAGAAAGCCACATCAAAGTGCAACGGAAAAAGTCAATCAGATATGTTTGACCAGCTGTGATGCGATATTGAGCAAAAACAGCATTGCAGTCGAGTCATTGATAGAATTTACGTATTAGATCCTTGACAAGGATAACGTTATGCCGTTATACCCGGCGCATGGGTTCTATTTCCGGCTTCTCGTGAGACAGCCCGCCCGTGTTGTGTTGGGTTATTTGATACCCACTGGAAGCTAGTGCTTGAACCCCCCATCTGGCGATCAGGGTTTTTCGCTTTTCCTCTGTGTTGGTGTCATTGACTAATGCATCAATGCATAACTCGACAAGAAACACACGCCCTGACTAGCCTTTCTTCTGTTTTTTTTCTTTCTTCTTTTTGCCCTGACAATCAAACAACAACGAATAGAGTTTGATCTAAATCAAGTGCCGTTGAGACCAAGCAAGGCCAAAGTGGGATGAACTTTTGTTGTTTGGTAATCAAGAGGCCCATGACGTCGACGGTTAGATGTTTTAGCATGGCAGCTGTGGGGAATGATTGAAGAAATGCATCGTTAGAAAGAGAATGCGAAAAAAAAATAAAAATAAAAAAAAGAAGAGAGAAAAGAAAAAGAAAAATGGGGGCTTGAGCTCACCTTGGAGATTTATGCGGTCCAAATTCCGCTCTTGGGGAGCCTTATTCTTCAAGCCGTCATTCTTGGTCCATCTTGAAGAGGCTCAATGCTTGCTACTGGTGCGTTGATGGCCTGATCCTGACAGTACAGTTAGTTACCAGCAATTTGCATGTCGTCAAGGTGGAAGTTTCTTCTCTTTACAGATCCATCTCAATCTCAGGCGTAACATAACGTAACAGAATACCAATACTGCAAAACAAGTATCAGCTAACATCCAAGATGCTTGGAAACATAAAACTCGATCGATTGTTATTCTTGGCTGTCAGTGATTGGTCAACAAAGACTCAGCTCGGCCTTGGCTCTAAACGAGGCTTTTCGAGAATACCCACGACGCAAGATTGCAAGTGCCCAGGATCTCACTTGACAGCGCATTATTTGACAGGGGATGGACCGATGACAGAAAGCCTCTTTGTGTTCCATGAACGGAACCGTGAAACAAATAGAATCACTCGACGATTCTCGGCAATGCAGTAGTTCAGCGAAGAGAACAGAACAGAAGACCACATAATGAGATCATCATGTTAGTAGAATGCTACAGTATCTATCATGGCTCGCTAATACTGGGTTTTCGGGAATCGAAATACGGTTTGCGGAGGGTTTCGTCCATTCGGCAGTTGCACAGAATGAGGGATCAACTGATCGACCACTGCTACTACCTACCCGTGCCTCACATTTGATTGATTCCATTCTCAATTACGCAGCAAGCTAGGTAGTAAGCACATGCACAAAGCAGAGGGAAGCATTGACAGCAAAGCCCCGCGGAAGTTTTGACCGCTGCGGACTCCGAAACGGTGTCGGTACAATAAACAAGTCCGGACAACAGCGACCCTCAAACACAGCAAACACAAGATGGAAGAGATACTCTCATGTCTAAAGTGATGTGCTAGTTTCTGTGATACACTCCATGATGTGAAAAGTCTTTACTCTTTCTTCCTGATCAGCCAAGAGAAATGACTAAGACGCCTGTGAAGCCATCAAGGCAATTTGTCAACGTATACCCGCCTAAATCCGCGGCATCGACAAAGTATCATGGCGGCAATTCAACGGTGAGCTATTCTTCGCTGGTCACCGTTACGGCAGCTCAGCTCAAGGATCAGCCAAGAACCCCATGGACAATATGTAACAGCCCTATAATGAATCAATGCGGTAACCGAGCGGCACTTGATGTGTCATTCTCAAAAGGCGGGCAAAACGAAAGTCGGTAACGGGGGTAAACTAGACCATTGTATGTTGTTTAGGGTTTGCGATATACAACGTATGTGCTTGATTTAACTTATTTTGGGACTTTGAAGCGTCCCCTGCCCTGCGGGACAAGGGAGGGTCAAAGTGAGGTTAAGTGAAGGAAAATGCAATGATGAAGATGAGGCTCCTCCGCGGGCTCCATCACGAGAAGCTAGTTAGACCCTCCGGCGCTAGAATATCCCGCGTCTAAATTCCCGCTTACACATGACAGTAGTATAACACCCTTACTCGGCGACATTGACGTTGGTTTGCACAAGCAGAACGCGCGCGCGGAAGTTTGATGCTTAAGCCAGCCTGGGTTTCGTTTGATTGTCTGTCTGCATTGGAGAAACTTGGTTATTAGTGACCAAGCAAGCCGAGGCAGACCCATATAATTAACATTTCCAATAG